ACTTCACTAATGACTTATAAAGTGTAATATGCAATTTCATGGGTTAGCATACAAATTCACATTTTTTTTAAAGTAACTAAGATTGGGAATTTAAATAAAAAGGTTTAGTTAAGTTTAATAGAATTATACTTTTAATGATAATTAATTCTCGTATCAAATCCGTTCGGATAACGACGCTCTACTAATCAAGGAAACCCATTTAACTACCATTTTATAGGCAATTTCTTTATATCCCCTTATAGACTAGCTTCGTGAATGAGGCGTACTAGCGATTTAACTGACTTATTCTTATACATATAGTAATAATTAAGCTTTTAAATTTACATATAGTACAATGTGTATTTTAAAATTTTCAGAATACTAGGGTTTATATTTTAAAATTTTGAAATTAATATTCAATTAATTAAATTTTAAACAAATGATTTAATTATTAACAATTAAATAAATTAAATAAATTAAGGATTCCAAATTTATAATTATTCCTTTTCTTCAAATAAACTAACAAATATCAAATAAGGAAACCCTCAAACCCCTTGCCAATTTCGAAAACTTGGAGATGAAGGATATGGTTTCCAAACCCTAGCCCTTATTTTCAAAAACTAAGGGGTGGAGGCTAGGGTTATTAAAACCCTACCCATTATCGAAATTTATGGCTTTTTAGGGTTTATTTTCTATAAACCCTAATTGATGTATTCTTCTATTATAGCTATTCAACAGAAAACAAACCATATGCTCTAATACCACTAATGGTATTTAGTTAAACAAACAAAAATAAAAACCTTATGTTTGCATGCAACCTAAATAGGATCTATGTTTTCTCTATTGAACCTATAATGAAGAATATCAAAATAAAACCTGAAAACCCTAGGGTATTTTTGAAAGCACTCGAGAGGGTTTCAGAACTGCATACCTTTCTTGTAGATCTCTTAGAAGCAAGCATCACAAGTGTCATGTCTCTATTGGGATGATACCCAAGCTAGCAAGAGAATGAATTAGGAGACATGAGATAATTTTCTCCAAGGCTATGGAGAATAACGCATGAACAAAAATAAGGGCTTGGGGACTCCTTATGTAGTTAAGGAAACTTGGTGCCAAAGCTAGGGTTAAGGGGAAATCCCCTAGATCTTTTGCTTGCTGACCAAATAGCCCATAACCCTTTGTCCAAGGGGACTGGGATGAAATCTCCTTGGGCTTCCCTAGAGATTTTCATCCACCTCCTCCAAGGGGTTCTAGAACCTTCCTTTCTCAACTATTGATAAATAACAAAATAGTCCTTGTACTTTTAAGTAATCCAATTAATTACAATTAATTTCTGATTAATTATTAATTAAATAACATGATTTCTAATTAATATATTTTTTAACAACACATTAATAAATCATTTATTTAATTTTTTATTCATATATTAAATTAATCTCTCTCTAAAATCATTTTTTCCAATTGCTAGGTTTGAGGGCAGCCTAAAAGGAATGTGCTACTATCAATTCAAGTATATACCAATTTTAGTTATGGGGTTAGACACCTAATCCTACACAAGGATGTAGTAGTCAATGGTTTTTCCATCAAGATCCATAGTGATCTTTCCTTTGTGGACATCAATGATGTGTGAGTAGTATTCATGAATGGTCTTCCAAGGAGGACCATAAATGATTTAGAGGGAGTCTTTTCTTCGAGATCAATGACATTAAAATCTATAGGAAAGACAAGTTGATTAACTCATACTAGTACATCCTCCAACACTCCTATTGGAACCACACTTGAATTTTCTGCTAATTAGATGATTAATATGGTTTCTTCCAAAGGTCCAACATTAAGAGATTGAGATACCGAATATGACATCACATTGATCAAGGCTCCAAGATCTAAAATGTCACTTTCAACGTGAAAATCACTAATGGTACAAGGGATAGAAAACATTCCTGGATCCTTTCATTTGGGAGCTAACTTCTTATGGATAACCACGTACACATTTTCATTAACTTGGATCTTTTCATTCTCTTTGAACTTTTTTTTGTTGATGCACAAATCCTTGAGAAATTTGGCATAACTTGGAGTTTGGTTAACTGCATCCAGTAGAGGAATGTTGATTTCGAACTTGTGGAAAGTTTCAAGAAACTCATTCTCTTCCTCCTTTTTCTTTGATGCGGCTCACCAAGATGGAAAGGGTGCTGGTGTGGCCAATGGGTTGATTGGCTTGTTGGAATATTTGGGTTGATCAATGTTTGGCACAACGGTTCCTTTGGAGGAACTACCACCTTTGAAGATTCAAAAACAATAACCTCATCTTCTTCTTCTATTGAAACTCTTTTGGTGTTTCTTTCTCCAAGGGTTTTCCCACTTTTCAAGGTTATTGTACTCACATTAGGATTCTTGTTGTTTTGATATGGAAGTTTACCCTATTGTTCCATCTTATTGATAGTGGCAACTTAGTCTCCTATTTGTAGTTGAATGTTGGAGATGGTGTTCTTTGTCTCTTGTTGAAATTATGTTTGGTATTGAGCAAGTGAAGTAACAAGTTCTTGAAGAATCGTTTGATGGTTACCACTTGACTGGGCTTGTTGTTTAGGTTGTTGGTAATTTGGAGGAGGATGAGATGTTTGTGGAGTTGGATATTGTGGTTGGGTTTGTTGTGGAAAGGGATGTTTTTAAGATGTATATTAAGGATATTAAGGTCTCATGAAAGTATGCGGTAGAATTTGCTTTGGTGGGTATGGGTTGTTTGGGTTATTCCTCCAATTCGAGTTGTATGTGTTTTGAAATCCCATGGTTCTTGGTTAATATTGATATCCTCCCATTGCATTAACATCTTCCATTTTACTTCTAGGTGTGAGACACATATCTGTATAATGCCCCATCATTGCATAAAGACCACAAACCATCAATTGTTGACCACTTCCCACCACCATTTGAATCAACACATTAGTTAAATCCAAGAGTTTTGAATCCAAGTGTTGGGTATTTCTAACTTCACTAACAACTTTTTGCGACTTCTCTTCATGTCATTTTGAGTCCCAAAGGTTCTTTGGTTTTGAGAAATGGTACCAAAAAGTGATCTTATCTCTTGAGGTGTCTTGTTGAATATGTCACCACCACTTGAAGAATCAATCATTCTCCGATCTTTTTCATTCATACCCACATAGAAGTGTTGAAGAAGTAATTGTTTAGGTATATTGTTTTGAGGAAAACTTGTACATAAGTTGTTGAATCGCTCTCAAAAATCATGAAAAGTCTCATTCTCCCCTTGACAAATCCCAAAAATGTCACTCCTTTGACTTGATATTCAAGAGGTGCCATAGAACTTTTAAATTGAAGTCTTTGAGTAACTATTCCCTTGGGTGATTAGATCTTGGTGGTAAGTTGAATAACCACTCTATAGCTTTATATTCCAAGGTGAGTGGGAAGGTGGTTAGCATGATATCATCCAATGTCACATTTGTGGGCAACATGCTAACACATATCATTTGAAAAGACTTTAAATGCCTTTAAGCATTTTCTCTATCGAAAGTTCCGCAAATTAGTGATTTGATGTATAAAAATTTACTTCAATTTAATTCCTTAATGGTTTACGGGATAAACAATACCAAGAGGTATGTGAGTAACATTCGTTTCTATTATTTGTCTAATTATCAACTCTTGAGGTGTTATTGGGTGGATTAGGGTTTTGTTGGATGTAATTGATGTTGGATGTTGAGAATTGTAACACTCCTATGGTGCACATGCAACCCTAAATGCTTTGGATCTATGTTTTCTCTAATTATAGTTGCATATTCAATTCTTCCAAAGCATTGTCCTAACTAGCATGCAAATTGTTAAATGAACAATACTGATGAGAATGAAACTCTAGATCGATTAGATCTTTCACAGGTATGATTATGAAAATTGAACAAGTAAAAAACGGTATGAAAGTTCAGAATGGAATCAAATGTATGCTTATGATTCAAAATAAAGTCACGCCTCAGCAGAGCTCGATGAAGAACTTCCGCTGTAGAGACAAGCTAGGGTTTACAAAACTTAGAGAAAATAAATAATAAAAGCGATAACATCTAAGACTGCATGCATGCAGCTTATATACTAAACCCTAGTACAAAACATGCACGGTTGGACAGGCCCAATACCGGAAATCAAAACTGGGCTAAGGACCGAGCCCATGATGCAATCTAATAATCCCAACAATCTCCCCCTTTGCGTCAAATGATTTCTTCTGTGTTGGCTTCACTGTCTTTATTACTTTGAACAGACGAGGAATTATTGCGAGAAGTGTCTGTCGAAACTGTATGTACCACTTCAGCATGTCAGTGAATAATTTCTTATCAGCAGCATTGTTGTGATCACACCTCTAGATGATCTCTAAGATATGCTCCAGTCATGATGTTAAGAAGAGGTGTTTGTCAACAAGAGCGAACAGACATTTCTGACCTTCGCCCCTGAGGAACATAACAGTTTGGTAATCTGTATCAATCTTCTCCTTGACCATAGTGTTGACATTGCCTGCTTTGTGAATGGCAGAGCCAATCTCCTAGTCCATCTTCGCTACCTCGTGAATGTAGCACAGAAGCATTCGCTTGACATGGTCAATTATGGGCTGGTACTCCTGTGGATATGACAGTAGAATATTGTTGAGGAGTATCCAGTCGTGGGGATTCAGGTTTGGTAGATCAGCAAGGGTAAAGTTGTGAACCGAGCCATCAGTGCCTCGAGTCACTTTGAATTGAACGTTAACAAACTTCCCCGCTGAGTAGGGCTTCAAAACCTTGACATTTGTAATCTTCTTAAAAATCCTAGTCAAGTACTGCGGTTGAGAAAACTCCAAGTAGAACTCCAACAGATCCCTATCTACCTTCGGGTTTGGGGGAAGGAACAACAGCAGTCGAATTAAATCAATGGAAGAAAAATGCCTTTCGGGTGATTGGCATGTCGAATTGTGCGTCCTTGGAGTTCTCGAGCTCAAAATACATAACTGGCTCAAGCCAAAGTATGCTTGGCTCATCGATTGCGCATCTCTAAAGCGAAACTGCAATACACACAGGAAACATGGAAATTTTCTTCTCTAGGAGCTCCGTCTCCTTTCTCTTCTGCTCTAGCTCAGCTTGTTGTTTCTTGAGTTTTTCTTCCAGTTCGTTTTCAGAGAGATTTATCTTCTGAAACAGATTTTTAGGATTCTCAGCATATACATCATCCTCATCATCTGTGTCATCTTCTCTATTTTTCTTCTTCTTCTTCTTCCCTTTGATACAGACCGAAGCTTCATTACCCTTCGGTTCAGTAGATGGTCTCCGTTCAGGAGGAGGTTGTGTTTGCTTTTCTCCCCCTTGTTTTCGGCTGGACACTAGTCACCGGAACACCCTCGATACGACTAAGGATGTCTAATGATGGCCTAAGTTTATCAGCCAGATGCCTTCTGGTGGTAATGGTGATGATTGGATCATGTGCTTCAAGGAGATGAAGGAGGATGGAGTGAACATCATCCACCGAAGTCCGAATGACTTCCTTTTCTGAATTCAGATCATTGAGCTCAGTATTAGCAGTACGTAGCTTGTAGTTTTTCATTTTAAGCTGTGAGGTTCGCCTGTCAAGCTCATCCATGATGCAATTCTCTACAGCTAATTCGGCCTCAAGTTGAGTGAGTTGATCATTGAAATTAGCATATAAAGAGGTGTTTGCAGCTTCAATCGCTTGGCGTGTAGCTTCAAGTTTGGATCTATCAGAATGAAGGGACCGCTCTCAGATTCTGAAGGAGAAGCAATCTTATATTGGGGAGGAACATACTTTGAATCGGAGTCACTCAAAGATTGTAGTATTAGCCTCCAAGCGGGCTTCTTCAACTTCTTCGGTTGAGGAGGTGAGGTAACAGCCTTATCAGACTTTCGCTTCCTAGGGGTTTTCCCTTTGATGGGTTTGGAAACTTGTGCCTCTTTGTGGGTTTCCGGTTTATTGCCCCTTTTAGCAGGTTTGTCAGCCTCGTCAATAGAGCAAACCATGGCTGGGGTAAGATCCCTTGGACCTGAAGATGGATGCTTCCTGTATTGTTGGAGAACGTTACTCGACGCATAGATAGGAGCGATCATGGCTTCCAGAATAGATCCAATAAATGAGTACTTGGTGGGATCGGCGACAATTGATGAGAATGAAACTGTAGATCGATTAGATCTTTCACAGGTATGACTATGGAAATCGAACAAGTCAAAAATGGTATGTAAGTGAACACATAATGGAATCAAATGTATGCTTATGATTCAAAATAAAGTCACGCCTCAGCAGAGCTCGATGAAGAACTTCTGTTGTAGAGGTGAGCTAGGGTTTACAAAACATAGAGAAAATAAATAATAAAAGCGATAACATCTAAGACTGCATGCATGCATCTTATATACTAAACCCTAGTAAAAAATCATGCATGGTTGGACATGCCCAATACTAACAATCAAAATTAGGCTAAGGACCAAGCCGATGACGCAATCTAATAATCCCAACAAATACAGCTAGTTAAATGACATACCTTTATGAATGAATTGTAGTTCTTGGCCTTTGAAGCTTGAGCACCCCAAGTGTGATACCTCTAAGGGTTCACAAACACCAATATGAAAAGTGAGGCTTAAGAGAATAAGTTATTTAGCTCACAAAGAAGGTGCAACCATTTTTGGTTCATGAGGGTTCTATTTATATTGCTAGGGTAACATCTTTGTAAACCCTAATGACCTTTCACATTCTTAAGCTCAATGGGTTTAACCTCCATGGACTATCCATGGATTATTTCATTTGTTTAGCCCATATACATAGTCATGGATCATTGGCCACACTATAAGAATCATTGATTTACATAATATATCCCCATATTTAATTAGTCTCTTTTGACCATAAAATTAATTCCAAATTAATTCTTGATCAATACTAATTAAATAATAATAATATGATTTCATATTAATATATTATACTTGTCATATATTAATAAATCATAAATAACCTTATTCTCAAAAGTCCATCCTATCAAATTGCACTAGTGAAGGCAACCCAAAAGGACCATGCTACAATTGGGTTAAGTACATCACAGTTATAGTTATGGTCTTAGACACCAAATCCAACAGTCTCCCACTTGGATAAGTCTAATAACTATAGCTGCCAATATGACTTTAGGATCTGACTTAGAAATCATAAGCTTTCAACAGCCGCCATAGAACTCTGACATAGTCAGTGACTTTTCCTTAAGATAAGGGATCATATATTCCTCTATTCTCAAGATATCTATGCGGACAAATACATGGAACATAGTCATACTTATTGTCCTGCAGTTTTTTTTCTCGATTTCTGATTCGTCTGACATAGAACATAACTGAACACATTAATTTAGTTCTGACCGGGCCCGACACATAGTCAAAACAGAATCATTGAGGGGCCCAATATATCACTTATAATCCTCTTAGGATAAAAGGAACAGATAAACTTCGACATTATATGCTTGTACTAACTACTCATTAAGTCATGCACAACGATACGATTTTGTAACATCAAGTTACTGATGCGTTTTCGTATCATCAATGCGTAACCAAATTGTAGTCAACAACTCATATATCTTAGTTTGAGGACTATATGATACTATCGTCTCACAATCGCTCATGATAAATTCCATGAAGTGATTCAGGTGAGTGCGAGTTGATCCAAGGCTCAAATATTATTTCACAAGCACTCATGAATGGTGTAGCAGACTATTTCTATGTCTAACACCTTAGAAAATCTTACAAGCCAACTCAAGACAGACTTGCTTCATACCTACTTCCAAAGTATGATCGACTGTGGATAGTTTGAATAATCTTATTATTCGGGAAGTCAAAGCATGCAACGTGAAACACAAGGATAATACTAATCCTATATGGCCCTAAAACTTTTGAGTGTAAATAAAACACATTTTATTTAATCGCCATATTGATTACACATTATTCATTGTATATTTTTTCGATTTATCAACTAATACTTGAACTAAAAAAATTGTTATCCTATGCTCCAAGCATGCATACTATGTTTACCTACAATCCTTACTTTGTAAAATAGATCGATTGTAAACATTTCCAATGATACTCATTTCACAATTCCAAATCCTTATCGTAAGTGTAAGAATACTAGGTTCTTCCACTTACTGTAATTTGTTAGATTCTAGACTTATATGCAGTGATACTTTTGTGATGATTAAGTACACAAGTCACAAAGTCTTTGTCAATTACAAAACTTTCCATTGGATATTGTTACAAGTCAATTCCATAGATTCGAAGTCTCTTATTCAAAGCACATTCCTTTTAATATCCATCTTGCATAAAAGTTTCTAACTTTCTCATAGATTTTTGATATCCAACTCCTATTATGGAAACATTTCCATATTTTCCATATGAAAACTCATTGTTAATAGAACTTTGTCTATTCATAATAATTTCAATATGATCCATCCATTACTATACTTCCAACTATCCATAAGCAACCAATCTTTGGCAAAGCTTGGATTGTTCCTAGAAGTTGTTTAAGCTTGGATTGTTCCTAGAAGTTGTTTAATAACTTTAGTCATATCTATTTCTAGTCATTTTTCCCTCTTAATGACCTAAGCATTTAGCAAAATTAGAACACATGAATATTATAGCATATGTAATCGATCCTATACCCGAAGCAGATGGAATACGATTAATAATGTCTTACATAAAGACATGATACTTGACAAGTCTTTTGCTATAATATTTCCATATATATATTTACAATGTTGAAGCATTTCAACATGGTATTCATATAAATCCTTGACTAAATTTGATTAAAATCTCAATCTAAACTTTTAGAATTGAAATGAAGTATAAGTTCCTCTCCCTTAATTATAGTAAAACAACTTTTCATCCCTACAACTTTGCGAATTGAAAACTTTGTTTTCTATAATTAACATTTCTAACTTGCAACACTTACCATAATAATTATGCTCCCACTAGCATAACAATTATTTTTGTTGCTTGCATAACATTTATGCTCCAACTAGCTGTGACATAGATCCAGAAATCAGCTGGACTTCTAGAAATCAATACTTTATTGACTTTCTTACCAAAATTCAGATTTCTGACACGAGATGCTTCGATAAGACTTAATCTAAGCTCATACACCTTTTTTAGAAAGCTCATATGTGTGTCTAAACAATTTTAGAACTTATAGCAATAAGTCACACATGTTTAGACCTTTTGCCATTTCTCACAATTCGAACTATCAAGAGGGATGCCGTAATCATAATCGAATTTGAGAATGCAAATATCACAATTGCTAACTCTTAAAAATCCATTTAGTGAAAGCATTTCCCCACAATCATTTTTATCAATTGGATAGAAACCTTATGTCACTTATATTTTTAGGGTGTATATGTTCCTATGCATGTGAATTTGTCATAACCATAATCTTAAGACAAGGTTAGTGATAAATCCAAAATCATATGGACTAAACCTATCTAATCTTAATCTCTTGCCACTCAGTAGCACAAGGACCTACCATGTCTTCCAAGTTGTTCAGCAGATCACCCTTGCTGATCAATGAACTTTTACTTACGAAGGTGCTTTATCCTATGCAAACAATTGAGAACTCATAGAACTCATATGCATAGTCAACCAACTGGAGTGGCACAAAACAAGAATATGTCAACACGACAGGTTACATACCCCAAGTCATATGCTAGTGATTAACAATAGGTTGACTCCTGATTAGTTCTTAAAACTTTTCAAGATCTTTAAGACCCCCACCGACCTCTTGACATATAAGTTTCTCTCTGTCAAGAAACATTACTTGACAAACAAATATTCAAGAGTTAGTGCGATTTCTTATCAGGACAAACACTTTTGACAACTGGTCTTAGTTGATCTTTGTAATTACAACTTACCAATTTCAAATGTACAAGAGTACACAATATTTTACTCTACATTTGCTGATATGTCACTCAATGTACAATCTTGGAGGATGACTCTAAGATTTGATTTTGGAACAAAGTATGATTCATCTTAAATGGTTTAACCCTTTCAATAATTTACGATTCCTCTTCCTAGGCATAGAAGTGCACTAAGATGCTCTTATAGTATCAATTGTGATATGGTTTCATAATCATTAAGATGACCATTAAACACGATACTCAACTACTCTTCCATCTTTTCAGATTGGAGAAACTTTTATCTTTCTGCCGACTTTGATTCTTCTTATTTGTTATGTTATACATTGAGACTTTTCAATAACTCTGAATTATACTTAATTTGTAAGCATAACCATATTTACTGACTTTAGTAAATCATGACAAATAGTCTTATTATTCTTTGTGATGGACTTGACTAACGCACAACTAAGTGTACCCGATCCCTTGGTCCTTCACTTGACTTACATATATATACGCAGACAAGGAATTAGTCTTAATTTCCCAAAGATGAAAATTCTCATTCATCATACAATACAAGTTGCATGATTCCAAGTTTCTATCAAATCGAAACTTGGGTGATGAAAATCTTTCCTTATTTGGTAAATTTTCGACACTACCACAAGCGAAAGAATCAAATCCATGTTGCTTACAAATACAAACATCAAATTTTCACATAAGTCATTGCAAGGAGATATAATATAAAATAAACTCAAATTTTTATTTATGAAATGCGGAAGAAAACTTTTCCTTACAATGCAAATATAAATGAAAATATGTTATTACAAATTTCTAAGCAATCTATCATAACTCCTAAGCAGCAACTCAAAATTCCGATCATCGAACTATGCGATCGAAATCCATCTTTTCACGATCAGAATTAACCTTACTATTTCCTTTAAGCTTCCTTCTTTCTTTTTGATTTTGCAAAACATCAAAATGTAATTACATTACATCATGTATTAAGAATCTCTAAATAGGAACTTAATAGAGTTAGATAGTGGACTTATCTGAAGCAGAGTAAAACTTTTCGATTCTACCTTCTCTTAGATCATTCAGGTAGTCTGGGCAGCTTCGCTTCCAATGTCCCTTCAAATGGTAGTAGAAACAAATGGCTTATTTTGCATTGGCAAATGAGAGACTAGAACTCTTCCTTATGGATTG